CGTTTGTACCATCAAATTGGATCTGACTGGTACAGGAGGAGATTGTTCCTCCGTCTCCAGCAGAGGATTTGGTGGATTCGAACCGCTCACCAATGGGATTGCAGTATATAAGCTTGTTTTCATCGGAGAGCTCCACCAAACGCTGTCGACCATGAAGTAACCATTATCACATTTGACACATCAGTGTCATAGTATTCGGCTTCACAGCAACCACAATTTACCTCTGTACAGCAAATGGACAGACCAGTGCTATACCATTTAGGAGAATGTTTGAACAAAAACAAAACCAGGTGTGAGGACCGCAGATTAAAATCACCCACCTTTGGCTTGGCAGCATTACTTTCTTTCCACTAGGCCAACAGAGCTCTCTCTTATGACACAGCAATTCTTTGAACAACAGATCTAACCCTTGCCCTGTCCTCTGGCATCCCCACAGTCTGAGACATGCTCAAGCCCATTGTTTTCACATTTACCCCCACTATACAGGATTTTCTGCCAGTGCCATTTGGGAATTGTTAATGGTATTCTTCTGTTCTCAAGGTCATGAAAATTGAGATTTACATTATCTACTAGTACTTTGGACTACTTGTTTCTAAGCATCTTTGTTTTTGTTTTTGTTTTTTAAATTTTATTATTTTTGTGTGAGTGTACCGTCAAATCAAATCTGACTGATAGGAGGAGATTGTCCCTCCTTCCCCGGCAGAGCATCTGGTGTATTGAAACTGTGCGCCTCTGGGATTGTAGTTGCAGCTCCTTGCCAGTAGGCCACCAGAGCTCCCCTAGCATCTTTGTTTTTATACCCTGCTTTTTGTTCTGGATATAGAGAAACCAGTGGTTGTACTGTAGATGTTTCATTACACGCTTTTCACACTCTCATTCACACTCAACCAAAGTAGTGCTTAGAATTATCTTTGTGGAGTACCTTATGCCAACTGACATTATATATATTTTTGCCATGATACTTTTAAAATAAAATGAAGCACTGTTTAATTTTCTTTTAAATTTAAATTTATTATTGATTTCAGTAAAAAGTCATTCATTGTTGCACTTTTCTTCCCTCCCAACCCTCCCCTCTAGTACATTACCGTCTTGGAAAAATAAAAGAAAAATTCTTTCATTGTTTTACAAACCTTCCCAGAGGTCCACTCCACCATGTAGCCTTCGCTCTAGATTCCTGTCATGACAAAAATAGCAATCACATATCCCTTTTAAACGGTTTTCTCCCTCATCTGTTTCAATGCAGTACACATTATTGAACCCATCTTTCTCAGTCTCTCCCCAACCCCAAGGTCAGTCTTGTTTTACAACAGTGGTGCCATTCAGTATTTGTCCTTTTGTGACTGAGATACTTCACTCAGCATAATGTCCTCCAGAGTCACCCATTTTGAATAATATTGCATGAGTTCCTTGTTTTTCAATGCAGCATAGTATTCCATTGTGTGAATATATCATAGCTTTTCTATCCATTC